CCCATCTTAAAGTTGCTGAGGTTGAGGAACCCTGCCTTAGAACAGTGTTTCTTAAAATATGGTTCAAGGACCCTGAGGATCCCCCAGGATCCTTTCAGGGGTCTGCAAAATCAAAATTATTTGCCCAATATTGAAGATATTTGCAAACGTTTAAAACAATGTCACTCTTCTCGTTATAATGTTTTTATTTGTTAAAAAATCTAGGGTTTTTCATGAAAATATTTTATTTAAGTTAATATCTAATGGGTTTAATATTGTTATTTTTACATGATTCAATACATAAATATTCTACGAATGTGTCAATTTAAAGTTTTAATTCAGTAAATATTGATAAATATAACCTATACAAACAAAAGCTCTTTTGGGGTCCTGCATAATTTTTAAAAGTGGGAAGGGGTCCTGACAGCAAAGGGTCCTGACAGTTTAAGAAACACTGCCTTGGAGTGATGTCCAAACACAACTTCTGGTTATATACATATCGTACTTCATGGCTTAAGACAAGCAGCGTTGAATCACAGTGAATCGTCAGTGTGAGTCCTGTCCATTTCACCTCCCATGTGACCAAGTGGGAAGATTTCTAAAACTTTCATTTTTGCCTGATTCTGGTCCCGGAATTCTCAATAGCCGTGATAGTTTGGAGTTCTGAGAGTTGAAGTCTACACACTGGGAAAGAGCCTCAGTTGCAGAAACCTAGCTTAGGGTATTATCTGGATCAACAACTTTTGCTTAAAATTTTAAGCAGCCATAGTTTTAAACTAGCCATAAACATTCAAATTGGAATTGGAAGCATGCTTATTTAAACAAGCCATAATTAATGTTGATCACAGTTTTGGTCCATATAACACAGTAAATGTAGAAGTGAAAACTTCCAAGTTTCTCCTCTAGGCCCCATAGGAGAATGGGAAGAAAGAGACATGCACAAGCTCAAAGCTTGAGTTTGCTTGTTCCTGTTTATGTACATTGCACTAAGTCACAATTTAGCACATATGAACATGTCAACAAAAAACAAAAACCCTGCATGGTATTTAGCTAATGTTTAAGTGTGTTTGTTTCTTTGTGGAAATCTGCCAAACTCTAGGCTTTTTTATAGTATATGAAACTCTAGGCATTGTTATAGTATATAGTATAGTCTGGAAACTCGGAGGTTTGATGCTACATTCCAGGTATTCATGGATTGATGTGCAATGACACATTAACCCTGTGCCAGAAAACCCTGGAAGTGACAAAGGAATGCCTACATGTTGCAGGGCCAATGCAGCCAGTGCCAAATATGCAGGCTTAGGCACATCAGAATCCACACGGGCTAGTATTTGGAGTTGCCTGTTTGTAGGTGAAACCTGGTTTTTCATTTTCCTTGCAGCAGTCAGGAGGGACATTCAAGCAGTCTACTGTATTTGCATGTGGCACTCCCACCCGCTCCTCTCAGACCACTTCCCCTTTGGCTGCCTGAAAGTCTTTCTATCTTAGGGCACAGCCAGTTGGCCATGTTAAAGTGCTCTTCACCAGTCCCTGAGTGACGGAAAATCTTGCTGGCATAACATACTGGTGTAGGCTTTCACGACCAGTATCTGTTGGGCAGTGTTGAACTTCAGGGTTTAGTGACCCTGCTCTAATCAGAAACCATCTCGGCTAAAGACCAGTCAGAAGTCAGGTCACCTGGCTATAAAGACAGGAGTCCAGTCAATCCTTGCTCAGTTGCTTGTGGTCTGCACAGCAGACCACCTTGCCTCTGAAGATGCCAGCCACAGTTGCTGGAAAAACATCGGGAAATCTGTTGTCTAGACCATGGTCACTAAACCCTGAAGCTCAACACCACCCAACATCTGGCATAACATTTCTGCCCCGTTGCCAAACCCTCTACCCAAGTAATGCGGCTGGTGCTGTCCTTACTATTTTAATGTGGGACAAACTCACAGAAACAATTGGTGGATTCTCTGGGCTTCATTTCCCCCACCCACCAAGCATCACTGCTGGCAGGTAAACAGCCACCAATCACTCTCTGAGATGGGATGGGTGAGAGCAGGCAGGTGTTTGGGGCAGTCTGTTTAGCCACTGCTCGAGTCATCCAACTACCAGGGGAACTGAAAGAGCACTGAGCCTCTGACAAAAGGAGCTTGAGTCACAGATGTGGAGAAGGGGAAAGGTGAAGGAGGAAGAAAGCAGAGATCAGTAATGACAGAGCTCCATCCGGATCTTCTGCTGCAAAGAAATGGCAATCCTGTCATCATGGCCAGCAGCACCCAAATTAGCCTGTAGACATCAGTAGGGCTGGAATGGAGCAAAATGGTGCTGCCCCCCACTCTGCCCAAGGTATAAAACAAGCAAAAAGTAGGGCTGCATGAAAGCTCTTGTTGGTAGAAGCAGGAGAAACCCTACAATGCACCCATCGGTGACAGAACCAATGTCAGAGGAAGGCAACATCACAAGGACATGGTATTAAAAATGGTTTCCAGGACATATTTGTGCTGTGGTTAGGGGAAGATGAGGATGAGTCCTTAAGCATTCTGTTTCTCTAGCTGCAAAATTCCAGAATTGTCTGTATCCCTTTGCTGCCAATCTCATGGTTGTTCAGAGTTTTGCAGCCCAGATGTGGTTTACCTATTCTCTCTTCCCTTGTTTCTTCTCATACAGGAAGGTGGAAGAGAGCAACCAGCAATGATCACTGGGGAAACTACCAGGGGTCTGAAGGCTTTGCTTCCAGCAAATGTGGAGGTGGAGGATGTAGCAGCAATGGTGGCCCGTCTGCCCGCCCGCCCCCCCGCCTGCCCTCCTCTCCTGCTGTGGCTCTTATGGGGACCCCAGGCATGTGATGCCATGTCTGTGGTACACAAATCCAGACAATTAGTCCACATGACAGCCAGGAGATATATAAAACCCTAGCTCTGGGCTGGCACCTAGTGATTGCTGGAATATTTGTAGGCCATCCTGTGTAGTCTGGTACGTTGAACGGAATGGGGCAAGGAGCAAGGGGAATCCAGCAGGGCCCTCACACGCCTGAGGTCCCAAGGTTGCTGCCTCTCTAGCTTTCACTGTATTTACCTCATATCATGAAAGCATGGTTGAGAACCCAATGCAGAGACTACGTACACATTTGTAAGTACCAATGCACATACTGTATTCATGTATGTGAGTTTCTGTCTTTCTAGAGGCAAAACTCCAAGACCAAGAAAGGAACTCCTAACACATATTTCACAGGTGTTTAGGCGTATGAAAGCAGCATGTGTATAAGCATCTACTGAACGTGCAGGCTGAGCAGCAAAAGTAAGCCCAAAACTGACAATAAACTAGGAGGCCTTACACACAGGACTTTACAGCTCCAGCTTTGAGGAATGTAAAGCATTTTGCTTAGAAAAGGGGGGGGGGGAGGCCATGCCAGCATGAAAGAGTTAGAACAAAGCATGGAAAATACTCTTTCTACCAAACAAACCATACCAAAGAAAGGCAGAAGTTTCCACGAAACCTCCCCAAACACACCCACCCACTCCAAAACCTTTACACTTCCCAAACTTCCAGAGAACAATGGAGGGGGTGAATCTGGACCCAACCCACAGAAAAGATTTGCTCAGACCATGTTGCTACTGCCTCTGTTACCAGTCTACAGTGAAAACTGGAAATGGAAAGTGAGCCAACCATAAGGATTCAAAGATTTCTCCCTTAGCAGATTCCTTTAAATGTAGCAGTTCAAGCTTTCTGCTATTGCCTGCTTTAATTTCCTCTGCTTTTAACAAGTTTTGTTCTCATCTGTTGCTGCTTACAGCCTCACATCTCCATCACTCCCCCATTCCCATGCTCATCCTGCCCTCATTCATTTGCTCTTGCACACCCAAACCCACACCACTTGCCACCAGAAGTCCTTCAGCATCAGCTACCCAGGCACTGTCTTTTGTTTTTATCAGCAGTTCCTGAAATAACTGAATATGATAGTTCACTTACTTCACCAAGCAAGTGCACACGGAAGACAAGCACTTTTCAGACTGACTTTCTACATCACCCCTGAAGCCCTATACAAAATGCAAGGGGATTAAAAATTAAAACACAAATATCATATTACAGACTCTGTAATAAGGGCAGCATCAGAATACACAACTGTCTTAATCCTTTCCAAAAAAACTTTCAAGAATTGGCCGTCCCCCATCATTACAGTCCTCGACACACACATCCTCTCTCTTCCCTGTCATTCCATAGCTGTCCACATGCACACAACCCAGATACTACACACAGGGTGAATTCTCACACAAGAACTGCAAGTGCTGGCTAGCCACACAAAAGCTATCCCCACCAGCTACTACTGTTGATGTGCTGAAAAGGTCAGGGCTCCCCCACCCCAAATTCAACCCTCCCATATGGCACTAAATTCCTTGAAAGGAAAAGGAAACTAGGGAGTGCGGAGAGAAAGAGAGAGAGAACAAAAAGGAAAATACAAAGAGAAAAAAGTTAGGGTAAAATAGGGAGTGAAGTCACCAGAAGCAAAGAAAGCAGCAACTCCAAATAGAACAATAAAAGAAGGAAGATGACAGGAGGGACTTTTAAAAAAAAAGAAAAAGGAGGAAAATTAAAACTGTAAAAAACCAACAGAGTGAAAAAAGAAAAAGACGTAAAGAGGGAGGAAAGGAGAGAAAGAAAACAAATGAAAATGAAAGGCAGATTTAAAAGAAGGAAAGGTTGGGAATCAAACAAAAATGCTGCTGGGGCCAAAGTGAAAGGAAGAAAAGAGAAGGACAGAATGAAAAAAGGAATTGAATATGAAAAGAAAGACAAGAAATGAAGTTAAGAAATGAGAGACAAGGAAGAAAGTGGTGCACGAAGAAGAGATCGGTGCAAAATAAGAAACAAATAAAACTGTGATTTAAAGAGAAAGAGAGAGAAAAGTAAAGGAAAGTTGGTGGGGCAACAACTGAGAAGGTAAACATGATCTGATTGACGCCCAGGCTGAGCATTCCGGGGATTGTGTCATAAGAAGGGAGGAAACGCAGGCGCGCCGGCGAGCAAAGACATCTTACCGCGGCTTCCAAAAATGCTCAGGAGTTTGGCGAAAAGCTGACCCATCACGAGCTTCGGAGCTTCATAAGCAAACGCCTTCGCCCCCGCCCCTCTTTATAGACTCCGCAGGTGGCACGTCAGAAGCTAAGCCCCCCCTCCTCCTGCCAAGCTCCTCCCTCTCACGGGAAAACTCTCCCGATGGGGACTCCGTGGAAGCCTTGGGTGACGTCAGAAACCGTGGTGGAAACAGGGGATAGAAGTCGGGCAGGAAGACCTGGGGATAATGCAGGGCTGGGAGTGTGCGATAAATGCTCTTCCTCCAAGGAACTCCGGGGAGGGGCTCTTTGTGTAGAAGGGGCAGAGGGAGACAAAGGGGGTGCTTGGCACTGTGTTGTCTGGCTTGGGAGCTGGGTCTAGAGATGACAAGCATTTGAAACGTGGGTGAATGGCAAGGAAGGGCTGCTTTAAAGATCAGATGCTGGAGCAGCTTTTGAGATTAGTTATTGGGTGGACAGATGCCACTGGAGAAGATGGTCACAGCACCTTGATTTGCAGCCAGAAGCAAACTGGTAGCCAGTACAGCTCTCAAAGTAGGGGTATTTTACATGGGAGAACTTTGACACTTCCATCACTAGTCCAGCAGCTGAGTTCTGAACCAGCTGAAGCTCCAAGGGCAGCCCCAGGTACAGCAAGTTGCAGTAATCCAAATGGGAGCTGACTAAGCCACAAGCGACTGTAAGGAGGGCCTTGCAGTCCTAGAATTGTCATAGCTGGTGCCCCAGATGTATTTGTTCAAACCCCTCTTGGCCACAGGTGCCATCTGCTCCTTGAGCAGAAGCTGTGAGTCTAGGAGGACTACTAGATTACCCTCCAGGGCCATTTATCCACAAAGGCTTCTACCTGTGTAATATTCAGGCATTAAGGGGTTCCTTATATACACTGGTGCACTGCTTTTCTGGAAGGCTACTAGACCAGTTATTAAACATGTATTTAATGTTTTTCAGAAGACTGGTAGACCAGCCTGTGAAAAAAGAGATGGCTACTGGTCAGTTTAAACTGGGAAGGAGATGCAGTGATGATTTTGGCCCAGATTAGTGCATTACAGTTTTCTGCAGCACCTATAGATTGGGATATTTGGGAGCTGGGGAAAAATTGATAAGAGTTCTGCCAGTTTTCCCTTCTAGGCAAGTGACAGGAAGACTAGTAAACCTGTCCACTAATCCTCTAGAAGACTAATACAGTAAACCTTTGTCCAAAAATACCCCAGCTAACAGGATGGCAGGGTGGAGATAATTTGGAATGAAATGGAGGCAACTTCCTCAATGAACCATGTGAGCTCCTTCTTGCTTCACCCCGCAATCCACATCTGTCCCACTGACTTGTCCACTGGGCTATTTTTTGACCCAGATCTATCAGTCTTCTGGGGGACCAGTAGCCCACGTTCAAAAATAGCCTGAGTGACAGGTTATCAGTGTGGAGCATCTCTGCACCAGCAACCTGCCACTCAATCACCTTAGAAGATGGTTAAAGCCTTGGTCCCAGGCACCCACTCACACTTGCCTAAGTCCATCTCACAGCACTTCAAGGACCACTGGTGGTGGTTTTTCCCACTGGCTGGTGACTCAGGGTGGGAGGGGGAACAAAGCCAGGAGAATCTGCTAATTGCTGTCCTTAAATTTTCCCACAGTAAATCTGTAAGGATAGGTTCACTTGCAAGCCTAGTTACTGAGGCAAATCGTTCTTGGCTCTCGGGGAAGTGCAAATTATGCCTGCATATTTTTCTTCTGACACAAGAACTGGAGAAAGGGACATTAACATAGCGGTGAGAAAGAGTCCTAATCACCAGAGTGGTTAGTTATGGTTCAGAGGGCTGTCTGGATCCAGGCAATTGGGTTAATTCAATAAAGCTTGGTTAAGTAAGCTATAGGCCAGTGTGTTCAGTGTGCGCAGTTGGGGAGTTAAATGCTTCAGACTCAGGCCAAGGGTCTGTGAAATGTCTCTGAGCAAGAGCAGTTGTTGAAGCTTGCTGAGCACACTAGCAAGAGGGCTTTCATAGAAGCTGAGAGTCTTTTCCAACCTTGATTTATTGCATTGCTTCTCCCCCTGCAATTCTTTTCTCTCAAAGCAGAGGCGGGGTGGGGAGAGAGTGGCAGGAAAGTGGGGAGATCCAGTGCTTCCTCTCAATATTGCAGCCCCAAGTGAACTGGCCCCTTCCCACTGCTTTATGACTACCTTCAACCCTAATAGCAACTACTTTGAGGAGGGCTATGTGAAAGTGAGAGAGCAATTTAAATAATCTGCAATCGGTTTTCTATTCCCTGTAATCCAGTGCGGAATCTAATTGCAGATGCCATATATAGACTGGTTTGCTTAACCATGGTCTTTCAAATGGCTGTGTTCACATAACACGCATTGATTGATTTAAGTCCAAGTTGCAATGTAGGTGAAATAAAGACCTTGTGCTCCTAAGGAACATAACTTTATTTTTTAAAACATACATTGCAATTTTTAAAACCTGAGAAGACCAAGCTGTTTTGATCTGGCTGCCTTAGCCTTGGTTAGTTCTGTTGATTTGATGTATTTTTCTTTTAAATGACTGATCTTTGAAACTGAGAGGGACTGGCTTGCAATGCAAGGCTGCAATTCAGTGAACATACGTGGCTGAAATTCTGAATTTGAATCTCCATGCCTCTGTTCTTGGTGCTGCTGAAATATAATTTTCAGCAAAGAATCCTTCACTGTCTGATCAAGTGCTCTGCAGTGAAACAATGGGTACCTTAAAGGCAGCATGATACATTTTTCAGGAAATTGGATACATAGTTTTAAAAAAGGTAACATATGGGGGGGGGGGTTAATCCCTGTTATTCCATTTAAATCATTACATCATTTCAGCCTGCTACTTAGAATCTGAGCTTTTAATATTAAGCAACAGCATCTTCTCTCTGACTCATGTCTTTGAAGGTAGTTAACAATGCTATTTGCAGTACACAAAATGTTTTTTTTTGTTTTGTTTTTGGAGTAGAGGGAGAAGGCTTCTTGGTTACCTGGGAAATTAAATTTCTTAAAATGAGAAGGGGGCACCTGGATTTGAACCAGGGACCTCTTGATCTGCAGTCAAATGCTCTACCACTGAGCTATACCCCCAGCTCCTTAGCTTGTTTGTTGCTGGCATTGTTGTGGCAGGAAGTCATACTCTCATTGTATTTGAAATACAGCTGGAGGATCTTTGTGTAAATTACAGGTGTTATGTTTCTGATGTGGTTAAAGAGGTCATAAAGAACGTTCTCCTTTAAAAGGAGCAACTGAACAACAAGTATTTCATTTATTTTGTTTTCATGTTATTAGGTCTTGGCAATAGTTATTCATACTTCAAAACAAATAAATAAAAAGTCACATCCTCTTCAGATAGTCGAGGCTTTAGCTCCTGTAATCAAAAGCCACATTAGCTGGAAATTATTGGCACTGAAATCCAAGACACAGGAAGTCACCAGACTGAGAGAGAGTTGTTTAAAACAACACACCAAAAACTTAGATGACAAATTAGCTCTTAAGTGAAAGATATTATAGCCAATATACAATAGATTAAAAATTATCTTAGATCTCCTTAAATATAGGTTATTTTTATGGAGAGGAGGGTATATACAAGTTGAGGCATAACTGGGTAGGGAAGATCTGCTTATAAAGAAATGGGTGTGCAGCAGTCACGTCTAGTGAATACTGCTGTCCAGGTCAGGGGTGGCTCTCCAAAAAGATGTCAGAAGCCCTAAAATGGTAGAGGGTAGACCAATGCCAGGAATGACTGGGGTATGCTTGAGATTTTGACTGGGCCTGGCCATCACCTTAAGCAAGGGGTGGGCAAGACATAGCCAACAGACCACACACAGCCCACTCCTCCAGGCGCCTCTGGATGGTCACACTGATTGTCAGGGGTTTCCACAGTATTGTTTGGGGGATGAAATAAAGGGCAGGTGCACACGCACACACACACATAGCCCAACACTGTTCAACCCCACACTCTGATGATGTTAGTGTGTCTTCAGACATGCCCTCTGAACCCTGGGAGACCTACTCACATGTAAAAAGTGATACCAAAGAAAGAAAGCTTTTCATTGCAGACATTGATCCATTTATTATTTTAAGAATGATTCCATCTTCTCATGACTTGGTTACACATCTCAGATATGTTTATTTATTTGCAAATGTACAATCAAAATAGACAGTAGACAACTGTATGTACAATATTATTTACACGGAATAAATACAGCAACTTCAAAAACCTTGTTTCATAGTTGTCTATTTTTTCTGGCACCTCCAGTCATCTTTCTTCATCTCATGTGCAAACGGTATCCTGCAAAAGAGAGAGGAACTTTTTAAAAATAAGATTTCAACTGCCAGCGAGTAAAAAAATAAGGTCACAGGAAATAAACCTAAACAGGCTCTGGAGTTGTCTGTGATCTAATACAGTGCTGGCAAACTTGTGCCTGCCCTTGTTTTTGGACTTCATTTCCCATCATCCCTTGCCCTTGGGGCTAGCTGAGGAAGATGTAGTGCAGCTGCTCATCCTTGTTCGAATGGCACATGCCACCAAATGTTGTTTAAGGCAAGTATGTGGGCCACAGATGGCCTTTTGGGTGGCCCCTCATGAATGCCTAGAACTCCCTCACCAATAATCTCAGCTGCATTAAGACAGCCTCAATCACTGCAGGGAGGATGGGCTTTGACCTCCCCTTCCCACTGTTCTTGTGCAGTCAACATCACTGCTTTGCAACAGGGAAGCAGCAATCCCAACGGAGACATGAGGGCTGGGGAAGCTTTGTTTGTGGGTGGGAAAATGCATCTCTTCCCAACTGACATCAATACTCACTCTCGCTTGGGCTGCATCCGTCTGCATACTAGGCCTTCTAAACAGGGGCACACCTGGTTTATGCTGAATGCAATTCCTCCTGGAGGGACATGGCACTTCTCATCTAAAAGTAGCTTTTTCTTGCAAACCATCTCCCCATGGAGACGGGCACAGCAGAAGTCTGGAGCACAATCTTCATCGTGATGACAGCGGGCGCCTACAGGGGGCAAGCAAGAAAGCATAAATGTGGGAACCCAGCTGAACTGGGGTGGGGTGGGGAGAAAAGGATTTTGAAACCATTATGTTTTGGACTTGTTTAATGTACTGTGAATTCAGTGAAGTTAACTTCAACAATGGTTTCAAACTAAAACTAGTTTAAATATTGGCACAGTTGGAAAATAGGCATGGGTAAAATATTTTTAAAAATGCCAACTAGAGAGTATAAGAATTTCCATAGTCAAGCTGAATTTCTCATCAGAAAATGAAATAGAGCAAATCCTCTCACACACTCTCAAGCATTTTCCACTGGTAATTTGGAAGCTTTTAAGAATCTGAGAATTTCACATCCCAAATTAATTTTAGCAGGAATTCAAACTCCTGGAGAAGAAGACAAATCACACATCCAACTCTACTTTATTAATGTTGTTTGTGGTTTGATAATACTGTATCTAAATTGCTGGGTACAGGCTAAGAATCAAAATAAGAGGCCTGCTTAGCATCTCAAAGAACAAGAAGATACATTTAGGTCAGTCTTCTTTAACCTGATGCCTATGATTGCTGGGCACGGGAGATAAAGGAAGGCTGCATAAAAGAAAATGGAGAAGCAAAGCTTAGAGCAAGTAGCTAGTCCTTAAGGAGCATCTTGAATATAGCAGCATGTGCAGAATCTGTCAGCTAAAGTAATACAGTTTGAAAGCCTAATCCAAGACTGTGTTGCACATTGGGCTAAGCAATAATTTGTCTAAACATGATTTACAATTGGTTGGGTTGGCCCAATGTGCTAAGGCATAGACAAGCAGACTATATGATGGCCTATTAGCTCAGTGCTTATTAGCACCAAGGCAGAAGTCCATGGGGAAACTGACAGAAAAAGAAGAGCAAACTAATTTGAAAAGCAAGGTGGGCATTAGGTTTGCTCTTAGAGGAACCTGGGAACGATAGTCCCCACACCTCTAGAAGATTCCAGGGCAGGAAAAGTTAAAAAAAGAGGATGGTTCCAAGAATAACACTCTGAACATCTTGCAGTAACAAGATACTCATTACACACAAAGCATTTTTTCTATGCTCCTTTAGACTTCCTCTAGCTCTCATGAATAGTCCACCCTTCTATGCCTTACCTTCGTGCCCTCCAGGTGCAGTCTGGAGGCATTTCCCAAACATACAAGTCAGATCCTTGGCACAATGGTCATCTTGGCGACAGAATTCTCCTTCTTGCCTAAGTGGCAGGCAGATCTCAAAGTGGTGGTCACAGAAGAGTTCCGGAGGACAAGCAATTTCAGAGCTGCATGCATTTGTCTATGTGCAAAAGGAGAGGAAAGGAGAGAAAAGGGCTCAGTTAGGTACCCCATCTAATATGGGACTGCTACATTTTAAAATCAGTTTCATGCTCATCAATGGCTGGGGCAGGAAATATTGTTCTATGAAAGGACCATAGCTAGCCACCAAAAATGTTCAGATTTAGGAAAACTGTCATACTTTAAATCATAGCTATGAAGGTCAAACCAATTTCCAACTGGTTTCAATTTGAGTAGTCCTTAGATCAAACACTTAGATCAATATTGATCAAATAAAATCCATAATTACTTCATATATCAGCCCTCCCATTAGGCAATGCTGGCTGGAATTCATGGGATTTGAAATACAGTGCAGGCAAACTCTGAAACGGGCACAGTTTCTCCCAGCATATCATAGTTCTGTAATGCTATTGATTTTTTTTTCTTGGAATAATGCCCTAGCATTTCCTTAGGCAAATGCAACCGCCATTCAGACCAAGTATCCATTAGAAATTCATCACATGTTTTTCTCCTGTTGTTACAGGTTGAACAATGTGAAGCCCTCCAGATATTTCTACACTATAACACCCAGCATCCTTTACTATTGGCTATGTTGGCTGGGGCTCTGGAAAGCCACACATTATGCAAAGATACTCATCTGCAGGGTCTTTGCCTTCATCATGAATAGCTAAACTTTCTAATGAAAATGTAAGCATACTGTATTTACCTAGGGGTCACAAATTACGAAAAACTAGATCAAATGTAACATGATTTGTTGGTTAAAAGCAGTAACTGACTGGGTTCCAGCACCATGCTAAACCACAAACCATGTTTTTACAAGTCATAATACTTGGGTCCCCACAATACAGTAACCCACAACCAACCAACCAGTGCAAAAATTTAGTACACTATGTGAACCAAGTCATATTTCCTAACAAACAAATGTTGGTCCCTGAGAGGGGGAGGGAAACAGTTGGGCTATACCTGTTGGGACTACAGAGTTATAAAACACGTGGAAACTTTAAGATCTCCAGAAATATTCATCAGCCTAGCTGGCACAAAAAATAGGGACTTAAGCAGCGATTCCCAGCCTGATATCTTCTTAGTGCAGAATTCTGGGAGCTGAAGTCCACACATCTGAAAGTTGCTGAGGTTGAGAAACACTGTCTTAGTGGATTAGACTACACACACACATCTCCTCACTAGCATTACCAATAGCCCTGGTGATTAGAGGTGATGGAAGGCACAGTCCGATGTATCTTCAGAGCATCAGACTGGGAAAGATTGTTCTAATCAGCTTCTACTTACCATTAGCTCTAGGCTGGGTGAAGGTCCAGGGTCCTTAAGAGATGCTACTTCATTGGCATTGTGGCCAGGTAAAGAATATATCCAGGCCCATATGTAGCTCTGTGCTGTGGGCAAGAAGCAGAGAAGAAAGGTGAGAAGGCAAAGCTGATTCTCCATCATCGCAGCAACCTTGGCTAAAGCGCTTAGCAAGAATGGAGATTCTCTCAAGCAAGTCTGGGAAAGTTTATATAGCCTATCCTATCTCAACTCCTGCTGTTAATGCTGTTTGCCAGTCTAATGGGGAGGAGGAGGTGGTAATCAGGAGTCAAGAGCTTAGCATAATGACTAGAGGTGCCACTCCAGGGGCAAACGAAACCCCAGAAAGCTGGCTCCCTGGCGAAAAGGCAATACTTTCTGTCTCCACTTTGGAGACTGCTCTGCCAGCATTATTAAAGGTGGAAAAAGAGAGTCAACATCCTAAATCAAGAGCTGTATGGGGGGAGGGGGGAGCAAGAGAGAGAAAGAAAGAGAGAGAGAGAGAAACAGACAGACTTATAATTTACAGCACTGAAACTTTGGCATCTACCTTATAATGTCATTTTAAATGTTAATTTATACTATGCACATCCACATCCGTATTACACTTCCTTCTTTCCAGACTATGATGGAACTCCTAAACCCTTTTCAGTGAAAATGCAAACAACATTCTGGTTAGACATGCAGACTTCATACCTTCAGCGTTAACCTTTCCACTGTCCTTTTTTCACCCCAAATTCCCATCGCTTGCATTTTGTAACAACTTCTTTGATTAAAGGTTCATGGGATTTCAAAAGATGCCCACAGTTCAGATCATACTTGGCTGGTCCTAATATAGGTGATGCCTGATCATGGATTTGAAGAAGAAATATGTTGGTGACAGGTCATGTGTTTTCTGACAATTGGTTAAGTAAGTCCAAGTTTCAGGTCAAATCTCTCTAGAGGGACATCACATTTTCCAGACTCTGTAAACTGTTTAGTTTAGTTTGGGTATTGAAAACAAATTCCTTGGGTCAGAATATTCTCAGGGGCACCCTAGTCTTTTATTTGAAATCAGGAGTGGGAAACCTGTACCTATTATTTGCATTTGGTGAATCCTGGGTTTCTAAATACAGTACAATACAGTAATACAATACAGTAAAAGCAAAAACAATATACAAAATCTGACAGCTCTTAAGTCTGCCAGTTCTGTGCTAGAACATTGGCCCTAGACCCCTATTTTGTGGGGTGCCTCAGGGTTCTATCCTCTCCTCATTTTTATTTAACACTTACATGAAGCCTTGGGGGGAGGAACACAGTGTAAGGTACCGTTGGTACTCTGATGTTCTCCAGCTGTACATCTCTCCCCTGGGCCAACCAAGTGATGCCATCAAGTTTCTTTCCCAGTGCCTGGAGGCTCTGGGGGTTTGGGTGGGGGAGAACAGGCTTCAGCTGAACCCTGGCAAGACCAAATGGCTGTGGGTTTTAAGACCCCACGTATCCAGAGATTTTCCACCTTTAACTCTGCATGGGGCTGCACTTCCCTTTAGAGTTGGTGCACAATTTGGGGGTCCTCTTGGACTCATGACTCCTACTCATTTATTGTTTGATTGTTCTCATTCATTCATTCATTCATTCATTCATTCATTCATTCATTCATTCATTCATTCATTTTATATAACCTCCCATCTCACCAGCAAGCAATTCCGGGAGGCATACAATTGCTGGTTTTAACTTTGTACACTGTCCAGAGTCACTGCTATGAGTTGCATGGCCATATAAATCAATCAGTCAATTAATCAATCTTCCTAAATATTCCAAAGGTGGGAAAGGATTTTCATCCAGGGAGTAGAAAGCAACAATTGGCTCCATCCTCCTAATGAAGTAAAATAGTTCAAAACTGAGGACAAATTAAAGGAAGTACTTCATACAGCAAATAACTTCCCTGTGGAATGCTGCTCCACAAGATATGGAGGTAGCCACCAACTTACCTGGCTTAAAAAGGGGATTAGACACATTCATAAAGGATAAGACTCAGTGATCTGTAGTCCTAATGACTATATATTGCTTATAGTACAAGAGGCAATGAAATCAGGTCTTGGAGAAAATCAGTATGAAAATACTATCATACATAGATCCTTCCTGTGAATTCCATTCGGCATTGAGTTGGCCACTGTGGAAACAAAAAGATGAACTAGATGAACCTTTGGACAGATCCAGCAGGGACTATCCTATATTCTTCCTGCCCCCATTACGTTCTGGATCCATACACAATTATTTCTTTAACAAGTGATGGAATTTAGACATTGTTCAAAGCCAAACCACATTATGGGTTAAAACGATATATGAATCCAGGCACTGACTGGCAATAGTTCTCCATGGTTTTAGGCAACATTCTGTCTATTACTAGCTGGTGGAGTTGCCAGGGACCGACACAGTCTGTATGCTTGTTGTCCTTCCCTAAAGACATGGCTTCTTATGTATGGAACCGATCCTTGGATCTAGTGTCAAGTATGACTCAAGCTCCTAGACATATGGAACTGAAGATGTTGGACTAGGAACCAGAAGACCCAGATTCAAGTCCACCCTTAGCCACAAAATTTCCTGGCTGACTTTGGACCAATCATTCACTTCCAGCCCAGCTTATCCTTCAGGCTTGCTCTGGGAAATTGGAAGAGGGAATGCTCTGTATGCTGCTTTGAACTCCTGGAGGCAAGGCAGAATATCGTTCAAAAAAATAAATCAATCCTCTGTAGTGTACACTAATAGAAAAAATTTAGTTCTATTCCAGTTTAGTGCACTAAGCTCATGTGAGGCAACTGTGAGAGTCCAGCTATGTAGTTCTTGCTTCACATGAGCTGAGCATGCACACAGCACATTACCTCTGCAGCTTATAGGGGTTCATAGTGTGGAAATTGCCATGGGAAATATTTCTGGACTGTACAAAACTGACCATAGTTTTGAAAATTTGCCACATGTGTGCTCATGGATATAGACCTATCTTTTCAGATATTAAAAACGCACAAGAGAAGGAGGAAGAGGAGATTTCAAAAGAATTCCAAAACTGCTTTAATTTGGGGAAGTGGGCTTTCTGTTTTCATTTACAGATATCTTCTACTAGGTATCTTTCAGTGGTTGCATTTTGAAGGCTTAATCCAATTCCTTGTTGGCTAAGATGATGGCAAATACAATTCTGTATATTTGGAGGGCACCTAATTAGGAAAGCTGTTGTAGGATTCCCAAATTATGTGAACTGTCAAGTTATGCAGACAAGTTATTGTTATCACTAATCAAGCTTATCCCTATCCTTGCCTATTCTGTGTTAGCAGCTCAAATTATCAGCTTATCTCCTTTGCTGAGATCCCTCAACCATCGCCATCAACACCCTGCTATAGGTGGCATGTCTATAGGTCCCATTTCTAGATATATTGTTGTTGATGGTGAGCAAAATAAATAGGCAAAAAGCCTTACAGGCTATTGGATTTTTATGGAACAGGATTTCATGGGCTGTTCCATGGAAATGCATGTCCCATTGCTGCCTAGTGTGTATGTTTTTGTATAAATGTGTGAATGTTTATCCAGTTCTAAACCCCTCTCTCCACACAGCTCATCTCCTCCCAGTGATGGTTTTAGCACCTTCCTTAATGGAGTTGCAAATGGCATATTTACTTTCCTGATGTCTTTAGCATCTTCTCCCTTGGACAGTTTGGCCCAGCTGGGAAGGGGATTATGGCAGCTTTGGATGAATAAGCAAGAGTCAGAGCCCCACTTGCCGGGAGCTACTCAGGGTACATTCCTCTGAGACTTCCTGAGCATGCCTTCCACAAGATTTGTACCACAGTGAGAACAGTGTGCATATATGTGTGACATGTGCATAGACACACACATGCATTCCTTACTTAAACAGACAGAAAGCCATGAGTGTGTTCATGGCCAGTAACACATTCTAGCGTTCCTTCAGGGATGGAAACAGAAATGTCTGGTGCAGTGTTTCAAAGGTAATAAATGATGTGGTTCCCACTAAAAAAACCTGGTTGGTATGAAACCAATTAAATTGTATTTAAATTAACTAGACACAGAAAAAGACTTGTACACGCACACACCCGCACACATGCATCTGATTATGGTGCTCTATCTAGAAAAATTATCTTCATAGAGAAGAATTCATAGTATAGCAAAATGCTTTATGCTTGTCTTGAGGACAGTTAGGAATACAATAAAATGAAGCCTATGATTCAATAAATTACATACATTGTTGCTCTTGTTCTGTCTTACGAAAAGCTCATCTAACTCATGATGGCTGAGACTGCTCATTTCACACACCATGCTAAGAATGCATTTGCATGACACATAATCTGGGGTCATCTCAACCATAGTTTACTTACAATAATTAAACCAGTTTTCTGAGTGCCCATTATGCACTGGACTATAAACTAATCATATGGGTTTGCACAACATGTTAGGCTAAAGGATGGCTGACTACTAACTGGCTCAGTGTATCCTGTGAACTCAACATACAGCATGGTTGATTATTCTTGGTTTACCAAATAAATCACAGGTGGTTGAAAGCACACAGTGCCCTTGTCAGTCTCCACACTCTCCCAATACTAAACCAAAAAAACCCCAAACTACATTCTGATGTAGAATTGCTGATTACTAAGCAAGGAGCTCCTCAGAGTTTCATGACAAAGGTTTCCAGGTCTTCCTGTCCATGTATTTGAAGCCCAGGACAGGAGAAAGAGGTGCATGGATTCTTCCCCTGCTGTTGATTACAGGGACACAGCTAAGGCAGGGCCTGGGAGCCAAAGTCTGGGCCTCCCGCATCAGAGGGGTCCAAGGGACTCTACTGGGAGACTGCAGCCAACAGGCCCCGTATCACCCTAGCGTGTTGGTGTCTGCTGGAGCCAATGCAGCTGTGTATATGCAGCACCCTTGGATTCATGTATAACAGATTCAAAGTAATAGGCTCCAAGTGTGTTCAGAGACACCCTGTTTTGTCATTGTTAGCATCTATCTTTTGCACTGATAGATCTTAGGACTGCATCAGTAGGCAAAATAGAGCCAACAACCTTGAAAGCTGTCCACTTGTACTCTCACAGACAAGGTTTGGCTAGGAAGCCAGCATTTTTGAATGCCTGCAAAGTGTCTACATCAGTGTTTCTCAG